CATCCCTGCAGCTAGCCCTGTTGCCAGCACAGTTTGGTGCAGTCTTTGAGTTCACTCAAGTTACTATGACTTCCAGATATCAGCTACCAGCTGTCAATTTGGCAGCTGCCAAGAACTTTGAACATGTTCCAGTCATGCACCTATAATACAGCTTTCATTGCATTATTTTGTATGGTCCTGGGACATTTACACAGGGCAGACCATTACCTTTAAAGAGGAATTCAACACCTGAAAATTTCTGCAGCAACATTTTGATCCCTATTACAAGCTCAGAAATGGCTGAGGAAGTGAAAGGAATGAAATTAATCTAACAGGTTATTTAAAAAAAAACCCTTTTGTTTCTACTTAAATTTCATATGCAGATTTTAGTTTTACTTTGCCAAGAACTAAAAGAGAATTTTAAGACTTCAACTTGGATTCAGACTAAAACAAATCTCACCTTGTAATATTTGCTTCTTATTCATTAGTTAACAGAATCTGTGGGATACAGACCAATCCTATGAAAATTTAGACAGAAAAAATCCAACAGTTCTCTACATGCCCCTGCCATGCTTGTGCAATGGCTTGCAAAAGTTGGATAACAGCTTGTGAAACAGTGACTTGTTCAAAAGCTTGCACAAGCAGAATCAAAGTACTGAAAATGTTATTTACATGAGAATAGTAATAGGCTTTCTACAAATTCTAGAAGTTCAGTGCTGGCAGAATGATATTAGGTACAACTTATTGTCTTCCTCCATGATGAGTTAAGAAAAGAACTATGAGCACCAATCCTGGCTAAGCTTTGCATATCCTACTAATAATCCCAAATTGTTATAGGAATTGATCCTTAATTTGCAGCAGTTGGCCTCAAATTGGAGGCTGATCAGAGCTACACTTGCTTTGCCAAGTTTGGCTGACATTAGTATGGCTGATACTTGCCTTTCTTGGCTTATCACATTTAACAGGGAGGGGCAGTTTGCCTGGGTCCATGTGACCACAAATTCCATTTTGAGAGAGTGGTACCAGCCTCCCCACCTAAAGCAGTAGTCAGTTCACTCCTGAAAAGACTTGAGACCCAGAAGATAAAAATAATTGTAGTTCAGTCACCAACATCTTCTTTCTAGCCAATGCATTTGAGTGGTTGCTTATCAGTCCAGGTACTCTGAGGTGACATTTATTTTTATCCGTTTCAACACAGCTTTAAGTCTCATTTTGGAACAAGCTGCCTTTGTCACTATGCTGGAATTGGGATGGGTGCTGGAATTGGGATGGGTGTGTATGACCCTGTGGGGTCTCTTAGCTCTCTCTCAGTGACTTTTAATACTATCTGGATAGTCTGAGGTAGAACGTGTGGGCTCTGTAGTTTAGTCTGATTCTACCTAGATTCCTGATTCCTGAAGCAGTTGCTCTGCCCCGTAGCAGTTACATATAGGTTGCACAGTGGTCAATTTTATTTCCCATGTTTATCAATATTTATACATAACCTGCTGGTAAATTTATCTGTAATATGGGCTGACATATCATCAATGTGCATATAACACCCAGTTCTACTTCTCCTTTTCATCTAATACAGGTGCGACATTTGATATTCTGAAAAGTGCTATGGGGTAATACACTGGTTGAGGACCAATAAACTGGTATCTAAAATGCTTTTAGATATTTGTACTGTTTTGTCCCTTCTGCTGTAGATTTAAGTGTATTATGTGTTACTGCAGGATTTTTATTACTATTATTAGATTTATATCCTGCTTTTTCTATGACAAACTCAAAGCAGCTTACATCATTCTCCTGAGTCCCAGTCCTGCACTCTTAACCACTACAACACACTGGCTTTCTCTTTCTCTTTTATCTTGATTTAGCTTGCTTTTATACAATTTATTTTACTTCTACTTCATATTTATGTTTTAATTTGTACATTCCCTGGAGAAATTATTACTGGGCAGATTAAAGTATAATGAACAGATCTATGTCTTAGATTACCATTTGATTGCATAGCCAGCAATTATATGCACACTTACATACAAGTAAGTCTCACAACTATTGGTAAGATTTGCATCTGGATAAATACGTTTAGGTTGTTAAGTTTTGCTTTGTTATTGTTATCTCCAACACACTACTGAGATGAGACTTCAATATTGTCATTCAAAAATATTGTTAGACAATCTAGTGCCCTGGTGGGGTAAATTCTTGTTCCCTTTAACAGAGTCAACATTTGATAATGTTTTTATGGTATCCTATATATCTTGAAAACACTCTAGTGTTTGTGCTAAGATTTGAAAACAGTGGGACTCATGTCTGCTCCAGCCTTGGTTGTGGCTTGACATGCGGCATTGCTAACTGGCTTTATTCCTGAATGTCTAGCATTTCTGAAATTCACTAAGGGCAACTCCCTCCGCCTCTTTTCCTATTCTTAAAGTTCTCTGTGGGGATAATACACAGTGTGGGACTCCTGGCTTTAGCATGCTATTAAGTTATTGCCACCCCTAAGGACAACCCGGCAAGGAGGATGAGGACTCACATAACTCTGAATCAATAAAGGAAGCAGCTCAATTAGCATTTCACATGCTTTTCTTCCCTCTCTTCTTACCTTCCCTGCAGTGGGCATGCTTTCCCCTTAAAGGATTGTCCTGTTTCTGCTCCTTGCCAGCGTTGGCAGGGTGACAGTAGTCGAGTGTGCAAACTTGTGCTATTGTCTCTGGGCCAGGGGGAGTCATGGAGACCCACTAATATGACACAGGAAAATGTTTGCTGATGGCAATTCTATGGGCTTTGTCTAACTCTTTCTCCATCATGACGACTCGATTTAAGTCTCTAACTGTTTGACTACAGATGCAAGAGTACTATCCAACTCCATCCTTTTGTCCGGGTGGTTTGAATGGGTAATTCAGCTTTTGTGTGGCTCAATTGAGGGGGCAAACATAAAGACAAGATTCTTGAGCGCTCAAGCTTCTTTTCCATGGATATCTGCACATCTCTTTAGAGATTTGTTCCTTTCCTACCTTTTTCTGACATCACCCTCTCTTTAAGGGGGAAAAAGGCCCTGATCAAGAACAGTTTAAAAAGTAGGCTAGCCAGGTCTTCTAAACTAGCATTGTCCAGTGTTACTCAAGCATGGTTACTGCCAGCCTTCAGACAGCTTTGGAGTAGTTTAGAGAAAAGGGCCCCAGCAAACTTTCTTTACTCATCCTTAGCATATCATGTTTGATTGTGCTTAAGAAAAAGGGGGGAGGGGGCTGGAACAGGGAGAATGGTAGGAATCACAGGGAAATGATCGTATTTATTAGCTGTCTTTCTGTGGCTGTCCCCATGGTGACAATTTGTGATGGCAAAGAATGTGAGAACGGGGAGCCTAATGCCTGATTGGGATGCTTTGTATTTGGCAAAGTGGCTTCTGATTGGCCTGAGAAAGCCTCCTAACTAGAAGGACTTGATATTCATTCAGCTTACTCAAGTGCTGCAAAACACTCACAGGGTCCGGCTGCTTCTCTAAAGGTTGGTAGTGTCTAACCTATGTAACAAGATTAGCTGGTGAGCTTCTTCTTCTCTACCACAGAGTTACAGTAACACTCAGTATTTAAGAGACAATCTAGCTGGCGGGATGTGTATGTTTGACTTGAAGCACCATGAAAGCAATGCATAGATTTCTATTCAAGGGTTAAATGCTACCTGTCTAACAAGATTAACTAGTGGGGTCATAGAGGTAGCAAGTGATACTTGTAGGTCTGGGAAATGGAAAAAATGAATATGTTGTGGGAGGGATATGGTTATGAATGTATACATGGTGCAATGTGCATTATCTAGCTGTGAGTTCATAGAATAATTGTAAAGAATTGTGTGTACAGTGCAGCAAAGATTTTGCAGCAGCCCTAACCCCACAGGGGAAACACAAGAGCATGTGAGGCAATACCTACTTTTGGAATTATTTGGACCAAATGCTTGTGTCTAACTAAAGTTATTGTCTCCCTTAAGTCAGATTTCTTTGTGCATAATATAATTCTGAACATGTGTGGCTGTGTTTGACAGAAAGGGTCAGCATGCATATTTAAGCATGTAAGAGGAGCTATCAGAGCTGCGGATTAAACTGTGTGTGTATACAACCCTGTGATACATCATTATGGATAAAATTGCCATCTATAAATGTTTAAACTAAAGAAAACCGTGAGGCAAGAGAGTGTATGTGCATACAGAAAGTGAGAGTGAGCTATCAGGTGAGCATAACAGATGATGAGAAGGGGTGTGTGTCATTTCTTTGACTATGTTCACACCTGACCAGTAAAAGTCCTTTTTAGTCTTTGTTGCCCTACCTGGGTAAACATGTGGATTAATGTAATGTAAAACAGAATGGGGAAGACAGCTTTTTCTCTGGAATTTATATTCCAGGTAACTTAGGTATACTATTTTGTGTGAACTGTAAAAATGCTCTTTAAGACTATGTGGAAGTAACTTGCAAGTAACCACTATGAACATACTTCCAAATTAACACTCACAGGATAGTGATGCAAAGGTTGTTTCACACCCTACATTATCAAGAAATACAGGTTACAAAACTGCAGCATAACTGACACAGGCTATAACACTGGAAGCAACTAAATGTAGCTCCACACTGTGTGCAATTTTAAAATAAATTGATAGCATGTGGCCAACCATCTCACACTTTATGGGAGGAGGTCACATGTTCTGAAACGTATGTGCATGCACGTTATATTCCTGATAAGAACAAGTAAATGTTCCGTGTCTCATGCATAAGCACCTTTTCCGTGAAACGAATGAGTGTCCTCCACATAATTTTTAAAAACACGCCAAACCTCACTGGCATTCCTACTTGTTGTCTTTCCTCAGGGAAAGAGGACTCGGGTTTGTCTCTGGGAAGGCAATTCTCCGTCGTTCTCCTTAGCCTAGCCGTTATATGTCTGCGTGTGCTCCCCTCAGGCTAGCCGAGCAAAAGAGAGAGAGAGAGCCCTTCATGGACGGATCCTTCTTCCCGGTCCCTTCCCACCCGCGAGGGCTCCCCGACTTCTGAAATGGCCTCAGCCGACAGCGAAGTGAAAACCCTCCTCAATTTCGTCAACTTGGCCTCGAGCGACATCAAAGCCGCGCTGGACAAGTCGGCTCCTTGCCGCCGCTCGGTGGATCACAGGAAGTACCTCCAGAAGCAGCTCAAGCGCTTCTCTCAGAAATATGCCCGCCTCCCGCGATGCCACCACCACATGCTACAGCAGCAGCAGCAGCAGCAGCAGGAGTCTCAGCAGCCACGAAGGGCTCTTGAGGGGAGGGCGCGAGGCTTGAGCGCTGCCGAGGGCGGCGCGGAAAGCCCGGTAGGCCGCGGCGGCACCTCCGCCGGGCTCGCCAAGAGCGAAAAGGCCTGCAAGGCCACAGGGCCTGCCAGCGAGCAGCAGAGCGCTTCGGAGGCGACTGCCAGGCCCGACCAAGTGCCCATGAGGAAAAGGCAGCTGCCCGCCTCCTTCTGGGAAGAACCCCGGCCGGCTCCGGGCCCTTTAGGTATAAGCGGCGTGGTTTTCGCCTCTCCTTCCTCCAAGGCCTTGCCCCATTACGAGAGAAAGAAAAGTAAAAAGGGCCCTGACAGCAACGGGGCTGGTGCCGCACCCGAGAGCCCCACAAGTGGGACGGACATGGAGGCCGTCAAGGTGCTGAGAGCCTGGAGCTGCTGTCCATTTCAGTACCACAGAGCGCAGGCCTCCCCCGGCATTTACCCGCCGCCCCTGACGGCCACCCTCCCGCCTGCGGCCCCCTTCGCGGGCCTGGGGCTGTGGAGGAAGAACACAGCCTCCCCTGCGGAGGGCGAGGCCTTCTGCAAGCCGGAAGGAAGCAGCGGAGCAGGGCAGAAAGTGCACCGGCCCGTGGTGTGGAAACCCATCCCCACAAAGCCCGCCGCGCCGGCCCCCATCTTCAGCGTCTTCGGGTACATTTAGACCTGGAGGTTGCCCTCAGCATTCAGTCCTTCGCCCGTCCCCCTGCCTGGACTATGCGCCGCGCCGCGTTTAAGTGGCCTGTGAAACAAAGGCGAGGGAGGCCTCACTGCAGCGCCAGGCCTTGAAAGAGAAGCCTATCTCGTTCTTCTCTTCCCTGGGGTGGGCTGCCTGCCCTGAGGTACATCAGGTGCATCGCAAAAAGGAGAAAAAGTGTCGTGCGTTGGAGGGGGAATGCGGGTGCCTAGTAAAAAGCAACCAATTCCCCCTTAGACCATGAAGCTCCCTGGATGAGTTCAGGGCAGTGGGCATCTGACAGCCTAACCTATCTCACAGGGTTGTTGTGAGGATAAAATTCCCACGTGAGGTGGGGGAATTTGTACACCTATGGGGGTGTTGTACACCTACAGCTCTCTAGAGGAAGGGTGCGCTTTAAAAAGATTGTAATTGTGATTTTGTAAAAAGCCACACTTCGTGCTTGGAGCAGAACCTGGCCAAATGACCATTAAGTAACAAATCATGAGTTTTGAGGAGACTTCCCTTTGCTTGCATGGTTACAAAAGGGAAAAGTAAGAAAGTACAGAGCATAACTTTATTGTAAACAAGAATACAGTTATTTCTGGCATGTAAATACTAAGAGCATTAAAAAAGAACTAAAATAAAGTTAAGAAGTTGATTACTCTGAGGTTTTGCTGTTACAGTACTTCCAAATGGAAAAATGCCTTCCTATCACCAAAAATGAGAAGGTAGCATTTCTTTTATGTAAGTATGGTGACTTGTTTTTGGATCTGTGAATAGCAATCCTAGCTCTGGGTACAGAAACGTTCCTAGTAAGAATATTACCCTTGAGGATTTTGTGATGAATAATTCTGGGGAGGGGGTTATAAATGAGAAGCAATAAGCCTTGAACTGCTCTGCTCACATGACAATCATTTGTAGTTGCACAGAAAATAATGGCAATTGCTTGTTAGATAGTTCAGAGTGACAGATTTGCCAACAAGTATGTATACCCTGGATGTTCTTCGCTGTGGTAAGGGACCATAGGAAAGGTAGAGCAGATGCTTTACATACATGAAACATTAGTATCAGTTCTTACCACATTTAGGTATTTCAAGTATGAGAAAGATCTCTGCCTGCTGAGACCCTAGACAGTTGCTCTCAGACAGAGTACAGAATAGCAGACTAGATGAACTAATAAGTTTAGTTCATAGGATTTACTTTTGGAACAGTAGCAGCAGTGGTGTTCCATCATATGTTCCATAGTTATGGAGACAAATATTGTTATGAAAAGTGGCACATACACAATCATTCAATTATTTTGCCTGTTACACAGTTGAAGTGTTGGTATTTGCCTTTTAAAATTGGATTCACGTGTTCTGGTAAGATTGCATAAATAGTAAACTGCTAGCAAATGAGGTTTCAACCCTTATATTAGAGGTAAGGTTTGGTCCACATGTTTAGATATGTACCAAATCTTACCAAAAACCAATGTACTTTAAAACTTTGGACACAAACGTGTTTGTGTTAAAAATGGGAGTGTGTGGAATGCCCATGTCCAGAGGTGGTATACAATTGAATACCTGTTGTTGAAGAGATGCAACTGAAGGGAGCTGTTGCCTTTATATTTTCTTTGTGTGCTTCATAGAGGCACCTGGGAGGCAACTATGGGCAATAGGATGCTGAACCAGCTGGACTTTTTGTCTGATCTAACACTGATCTCCTTTATATTCTTTATATTAAGGAGTTACAAAACTCAGGGGTCCCCAGCTTTTTGAACCTATGGGTACATTTGGAAATTTGAGAAGGTGCTGTGGGCACAATCACAAAGGACTGGCTTGCATTACTGAGAACCAGATGGCTGAGCTGAGAGAGGTTACTCTCAGCTGTGCCCTCCAGGATATTCAGTCCTGCATCAGCATTGCCTTGAGAACCAGAGAGGGGAAGTAGCTGTGGTCCAGAGGAATATCTTCCTCTGTAGGCTTCCTGTTCACTCGAGTGTGGGTCTTGAGTGCTTGTATCTTGTGCTGGGCACCTGAAATGGATTAGGAATTCTACTGGTATACCTCCCACCCCACCCCACCCCATCAGATTTTCTGCCTGAGCTGATAGAAATGGTTTTAGACTTGTTGAGCATTCCTAGGATAATGGTTCTGGGGAATCTTCCATGCTAAGGGTGTGGTATCCAGGGCTACTCAGAAGTTCATGGCTGCCATAACAACCATGGGGCTGTCTCAACATGTTATTTGCCCAGTGCATATAAAAGGACACCCTTGATCTGGGTTTCTTGACGGGGCAGGAGTATAGTGACCTGGAGGTTGGGGGATTAACAACAACCCTTTAGTCATGGTCATATAACTTCCTAGTGAGGTTTAGACTTTTGGCTCCCTTTCCCCTCTGCAAGGGTGGGGGACCTTTCAAATTGGTCTACCCCTGGAGGCTAATAGATCCTGGATTATTATCATAAATAATTTTTTGAGGGGAGAAGGAAATTGAGAGTTTTGAGGTGCCATCTTGTGGGCATTGTGTTGTGAGATCCCTGTCATGTGGTTTACCCCATAGTCATGTACCAAGGAGCATTGAAAATTGCAGACAGCTCTGTTGATCCATTTCAACAATCTAGTTCTAGGAGTTTTCATCTATCCCTTTAAGCCTTATTGTGAATCTTGCTTCCCCAAAGTGAACCTTGAGTAGTCTTACAGCCGAGAAGCCTAGGGTTGTCTTTATATGAAGGCATATGGAAAAAGCTGTTTCAATTATTTTATTAAGTGTTGTCCAAGCTTTGTGGCAGAAACAAATAATGTAGGTATTTTTGGGCAGAGAATGCAGAACTTCTTTAGAGTTTCACGTATTTACAGAAACAGGACAGCTGAACTGTTACCATCCAGCCATTTTATGAGATGTTCAATTTGCAAGCTGCTCTCCATTCAATCAATTTACATTGCTGCATGCCTCAGTGACTGCACAGTTCTTGTGCCTCCCCAAGAAACATCAGTTGGAGAAATGCCCTGTCTTTTTCATTCTTCTTTGTGAAGTTATATGGGAGAGCAACGTAAGTATAAAGCACCCAGGAGAGATTTGTGAATAGTCATACTCCTGATAATCTGTGGTGAATCATAACTTACTCTAGGGGACAAAGCAGAAAAACTTGTGTAAATTGGAAGAAAGATGGCACTCCTTCAGGTTCAGTACACCACAAATTGCTCATGTAGGTATATGTGGGTAGACTAGTAAAGATGTTGTGGGTTATGACCTTGTTCTGCCCTCAAGTTCCTACTCACTTCAGTGGAGGAAACAGCTCTGCATGTACATTGGTTTCTGCATGTGGAACTATTCCCTCAATGGATGAATGGGTAAGCCATCTCAGGCCACAGCGCCATAGGAATATCAAATGCACATCCAATTTCAGACAAGCTGGCAATGCCAGATATGTTTATGGTGTGGAGAAAACAGGCAACCCAGCACATCTGGAAATTCAGTTTTCTCTGCAGTGGTTATTAAAAATTTGGACAAACCTAAACTTTTCCAGTCTAAGTTGCACTTGCCTTGCTATAACAATTACTTTTAAAAATAATCACATGACAGAAAAGTTTTACTCAAGTTTAATGCAAACTATAAAACCTAAAAAATAACTTTATATACACTGCAAACACCCATCCCTCCCACTAATCAAATCCCACAGTTTACAAAAAATTGTAACAAAACCCCCCAGAAGTGCATTATAGCACAAAATGAATTGCACACATGCCAATGGAAATAATACATCAATCAGGCCATAGAATACTAGAATATCCTACAGAAATCCTACAATATTCTTTGAATATTTATTTGATACATGATAAAGGTTTTTGTTTAATTAACTTTATCATCATCTGTTAATACATGCTACCATTCTATATCCTGGAACTGCAGGGCCTGTTATAAAGTCATAGATAGTCTATCTTTTAAATTTACAATCATTTCTATACAGCTGCATTTACATGTATAAAAGGCAGTAGAATTTGTATAGGTTTGGTATTGTTACTGAAATACCTTTGTAAAAATTCAGTTTCTCAGAACCAGCAAAACACCATGTACTCGCTACTGGACCAGCAAAAGACCATGTACCCACTACTGGACCAGTATTTCTTAGTAACAGCTGCTGGATGAAGATTTGCTTGGGGTAATGCATACAGTTTTACATACATCAAGTTAGTGTTCAAGCTGTCACATTTTCTTCATCTAGTAGCCTCTTGCAAATTGAGTCCAGCTATCCTGTCCGTGAAAATCTTTCTCTACATAGATTTCTGTTGCTGGATTGGCCATTTAGCTAAGAGAGGTAGCATGTACAATGTGCAAATAAGTGTAAACCTACTGTGTAAAAGAGATGATAAAAAGAATCAAGTGAAAGCACAATTTTTAAGGGAGCTTTTATATGCACAGGTACTTCTGAATATCCTGAGGCTTATGTTAATTTTTTCCTATAATATAGGTCCAGTTGCCCCATTGGAGATGTTCCTGCTTTATATACATGTGATTGGGGAATTCAAATCTATAGGTTAGCTGTGCATGTCTGAAAAATTAGGAGGGCATTTTCTGTACTTTTTTCTTCAATGTATTAGATAGAAGAATAGTAAGCTTTCCCCTAAAAATAGTGAGTTAACCAGACTCCTTAACTCTTATATAATATCAACTCCATTCAATAGGATAAAGAATTAGTACCATTGCTCCATCCACAACTAATTAGAACATTTCCAATTTGTGGTTTTAAAAAGCAATAAAAACTGCAAGCTTCTTACTACTACTGTACATAGGATTTTAAAAAAAATCTTAATTGTAAAAACTGTGCAATGTTCCTTATACCCAAGCCCTGCATTACAATGTAGGAGTTCAAGATAGTTCTGTCCACCATGCTACAGTTTATTTTGGACATCCTACCAAACATTGTTGAAAGGTATATAATGAACTGCTTGATTCTAATTTTGGTAGTAAGCTTTAGTATCACTAGACATTGCTAATTTTCACTCAGAGCAAACCATATTATCAAACTGTAACCCTAAACTACACAACTTGAACCAACAGTTAGTATACAATTAGTATACAGATCTATTTAACTGAAACTTGCTATAAAAGAGGATTAAAAGTGTCACAACTGTAACACTTCCTATTGGAAGTGTTTAATATGAAGAGAATGCCAACTAACAATAACCACAGACATCTGTGAAAGTGAATTTACCCTCTAATGACTTGATGTCACCTAGTTGACTCATTTAAATGCACTCCAGCCAAACCATGGTTTTACTGTGAAGCAGTTATTTACTGCTGTTAGCTACTAGTTATTACATATAAGCCATAGCTTGTTCACTGTTAAACATATTCAGTTTGGGTGGCTGTTTAGCCATCATATCGCTATACATCAGCATTTTCAGTTCACAATGACAGTTAAACAAAAGTACCCTATCTAGAATTGATCCAACATCTAATTGGAGTTGTGCAAACTGTTGACATTGCTTTTCAGCAACAGCAGCTAGACCTGAATCTACACTTTTCTTCATTACTGCTACAAAGAAGACTTAACACTGGCTTCCTTGACATCAGAACTGAAGGGTAATGTATTAAAACAGATGGAAATAAAATTCTACTTGCATCTTATGCCTACTTAATATAATATACATGCATATTTTCTGCATCCTTCAATTCTTACTTGGTAAGTTTAATTTTTATTTAAGTTATGAGCTCTTCACATGAGCTAAGATGTACAAAACGATTTATAATGAATGAACTAAGATTGCTATTAAAGGCGTAAGGTTTTTATTATTGTTAGACTTAGAAGGACCCACTAAATTAAAAGGAAAAAAAATATATGAATGAGGTGGTGTCCAATGATACAGAATTAGCAGCTGAAATAAAACCCAAATGATGAAATGAAACAAGATGAAATGTAACTATTGTTGAGTTGTTGCTTTTTTAAAAGATCCTTACAATCAGATCAAGATGCCTTTGCCTATAGGTCCATTCAGAAAATAAATCTGTTCTCAACCTGAGTAATCCTGCTTGTCTCTGTGTATGTAGCAAGTTGTGAAAACACACAGAATGTGTGAACCAGCAGATCATGAATATAGTTGGCAGCATTTCTTGTGATTGCCACTACAAACGTTATTGTGTGATCACCTGTTTCACACATATCCGTCTGAGTGAATCAGTATTTTAAGACTGCCCTGACTGCTATTTCTCTTTTTCTTCCTCAAGTAAGTAGTCATACTGAGGTGCTTAGCAATTCAAAACTGTTGTATGTATCTGGAAAGTAGTGTAATACTTCTGCCCTCATTTGCTGTCTAGATAATTGACCCTGATTTCCATACATCATTCCTATAACATAAATAATATTGATTAGCTCATTCAGTGATGCTGATTTAAAGGCAGCCTTTCTTCTTCATAGAATCATAAAATAGTAGATTTGGAAGGAGCCATGAAGGACATTGGTTCCAACCCCCTGCTGTTGCAGGACACCAATTTACACCATCCTACTCAGATGGCTGTCTTCTTACAGAGTAAAGCAAGTATTTTCTTCCATATCAGTTTCCCTCTCATCATGTGACTGTGTTCTATCATGAATATGGCTGTCTCTCCATGAAATGTTTGAATGCCAGGTTCACCTAAGGTCACTGGGTATAATCATATTGTAAATAGCGAATCAACCTCCCAGGCAGAGGCAAGGTATCAATGAGTGCAATTCGATTCTTCCCAATCACACTGCGAACTTTGATCCGGCAGAGGTGGGCAAGTGGCCTTGGTGGTTCTGGAAAAATGGAAAAATGCACAAGTAAGTCAGTAAAAGTTTATATTACTTTTGGGCCAAACGACCCAAAGTAGCCACAGAACTTTACACACTTTTCATAGAAGATATTCATTTTAATTTTTATCTATCTATCTATCTATCTATCTATCTATCTATCTATCTATCTATCTATTTAAACAACTTATATGCTGCCCCATCGCATGAGCCTCGGGGCAGCTTACAATCATTAAAATCCCATATAAAATACAAAAAATCATCAAATAAATAAAATACAAAAAATAATAAAATAAAATAAAATAGTGGATCCAGCCTGGTCAATTTAAACCAACAAAAAAACTATTAACAGTTAAAATAGTGCTTAAATAAAAAGGTCTTGGCCTGGCGCCAAGAAACAAATTTACATTTATATATTACTCTTAAGTTTTAAAATAAACAAATAAATGAATAAATAACAGATACAAAATCCAGGGTGATTCACAGCAAGAACATTAAAGATAGAACAATACAAGAACAATAGAACTGAGGTATCTTATTATCTTGACCTCTGGGGGTTTGAAATCTGTTGAGCTACACTTTTAGCAATTCTTTGTCACTGGAACTTTTATTCCAAATATGATAACTTTCTATAAGCAGAGAAGGGTTTTTTTTAAATGAGAGTATTAAAACATGGGACTGTGACCTGCATTCTTTAAGCTGTCCTGGGACAATTGGATTGTATAGGGCAGGATAAAAATATTCCATATAAATAAATAAAATTCATTCAGAGCTGTGTTTACAAGATTCTGCTGCTTGTGTAGCTTGTATCTTGAGTATGGGAGGCATAAAATACTAAAACAATGGTTTTTTTTCATTGTGGAACAAAGACCCTCACTAATTTTAATTCGGAGCTGTATACATTTATGAGAGATACCTAGTAAATTTCTATTTCTGCATCTCAGTTGTGGTTCAGAACCATATATGATATCCTTCTCTCCTCCCCTCCCCTCCCCTCTTTCCCATGGAAGATGAGCGAAAACTAAAGTTTGAATGTTAAGCATTTCCTGTGTTTTTCATGTTGATGCTTTCATATTCCTTTACTAATCTGAACCAAGAAGGGAATCAACCTACTCATCCTATTTTATATTTTCCCTCAAAATTTGGATTATGATATTTATGAAGCTATCAAAATACATTATATTAATTGGCACAGTTTATTCTATTTAACATTTTTCAATAACACACAATGATGGGACATGCCTGAATATGGAAGTTTTGTTGCTGATTGCCTGGAGCAATTGCACTGAATGAGCTACAAAGGAATGCAGAGAAATTTAATTCTGGTGCAAAGCAACTAATTTCTATTAACCTACCTGCTTTGATTTTGATGTTAGACCAACCTTCATAACTGTCAATATGCTCCTTTAGCCGGGAACAAAGTTGTACATTACCCACATAATCCAAAAGAACGTCAATAATAGGCCCTGCCCAGCGATTCATCTCTGGAGCTGAAACCATTTCACAAAACTGGAAGGGAAAATGAGATACACGTTATTTATTATGGGGAATCATAGGGCACAGTTTTACACAAATTGTGGGCAGTGCTTCTGGTTTCCAGGAACAATCTGAACACTGCCATGTGTAGATTGTTACTATGATGGCTAAGTCTGGGAATTGGATTAAACAATCCCAAGTCAACCTATGGTTTGTTCTTGGGTCAGTTAAGCCACAGATTGCTAGCGAACACTTATGTTAAATATGAACAGAAGTTGTGTTGTTTTACTGATTAATTTCATCCCATTAATAAGTAAAGTAATTAAAACAACCTTCTGGGAAGGAAACCCAAGAAAGTTCATGATCTTTGTAGGAAATGCTTACATTTGCAATAGATATTCACATGCCTGCTGTACAAGTCAGTCATATGGGAGCATAGCTGCACTTATCTTACATCTCTTGGTGTGCTTCTGGAGAGGCCAACAATTCTCATCTGTATGTGAATTCATGAGAAGCTCTGGTATGCATAGCCTGGATAACTGTGTCCCTCATTCTTTGTTGACCTGTTTTTTAATGTCCTAACACAAGAAATTGCAGCCTGATTTGCCCATATGCCATAATAATAAAATGTAAGGCTCCAGTGCATCGATAACTGCACTGTGGATGGTATCCAAAGGTATCATTCTGTTGGTGGAACCAGCTTTGTCAACAAAATCAGGAAGTGGGTAATTCTTCTGCCCTCTGCAGTCACCCCCATGTACTCTCAAGATCTGTTCTGGAGGACCAGAAAACCCTCTGCAGCAGATTTTTGTGCACCATGGAAGCTGCAGGTGGAACAGGTGGAAAGTTTCATCACACTATAGACTTCAGCTAGCACAATGTTGGATAGAACCCAGGATCCTTGCTTGACACAATCCAGTGCCATGATAAATAGTGTTCTAGCTATAAAAATGTGTTTCTAAATTAACAGAAATAGCTCTCTTGACTAGGCTGCCCTGAGAGTATTTATGAAGTGTGATGTTACAAAAGAACAAGAATTTAAAAATGTACTTCACTAATAACTCTTTTGCTCACAGTGAAGTAGTTTAAATGCCCTCTAGTGGCGTTCAGGCAAAAATACCTCTCAAGGTTCCATTCCATATACATAGCTTAGGAAAATAGTTATCCAGTTTCCTATCCATATGTAGCCAAAGCAGCACTATTCACACAGAAGAGGGAGATGCTAATATGTGTAGGGGGAACACTAAGGTTCATGGCAATATAAAAGCATTTAGGAAGACAAAATTCAAAGGGAAGGAAGTGCAGGAACAATTGGGACAACTGAGTGGGCTGGAATCCTGATAATTTTTTGCAGGTCCCACTTGTTTCTAGTATGTTCTAGTAGTTTATTATTAACAATTTATTTGTGCCTTTCCATAGGGATGGATAATTGCAGTAATATTCATGATTTTTAATGCTTTTCAGTGTAGAAAGTTCCTTGCAGTGCTCAGAAAATGATTTACATTCATAATACTATGAAGTAGTTTTTCTGATAGATGCTTACTTGACCAAAGCTATCTGGTTAGTTCCATGGTTGAGCAGAAGTTTTATGCAAGAAGAAATAGTTGGTGCAGACCCAAACCATGCATATAAGAAACTATCATGTAGTAAGCAAGGAGGGATTACTAAGAATTGATCACCCTGCAGTTGGAGTGAGATTACTTCTCATTCTTTGCATTGTCTTTCTGTCTTCCTTTGAAATTATGTTGAACTAGGCTAATGAATCCATTGTCTGGGGGCTGTGCTATCACCCAGACTGGTACAGGCTTTCCAGAATTTCAGAGTGAGACATTTCTTTGTCATGCTACTTGAGAAACTGGAGAAGCTAGAGAATGAACCTGAAATCTTTGAAAAAGAAAGAACATGTTGCTACATATATGAGTACATGATGAGACAGTAAGAGTAGACTTACCTGTACAGTGCTTTGCTCTTGATGCACCTGGGGTTCATAATGTCTGTCCCTCCTGGTGTCAATGGGAGGATGTGGGCCACTTCCATACCGACACTTAAAACAAGATTTGGCATCACAGCCCAGATCCATCAGAAATTTCAGCAGAGTAAGATACTTCATTGAGAACATGATGGTAGCAGGGAAAGTAGTTGGGTGGGAGGCAATGTAGGTATCAATATTGGCTCCATGATCAAGAAGAAGCTTCATTGTCTTCAAGCAGCCATGGCGGATAGAAATAAGCAGAGGGTTGATGAGGTCAACATTGGGGTTGGCCCCGGCCTCAAGCAGCAGCTCAGTAGCATAGACATTGTTGTTAAAAACTGCAAAATATAGGACACTGGTGCGCCTGTCCTCATAGAGCCGAGCACGTTCAGGAGAAAGAATGGCATTCACATCAAAGCCAGCTTCAATCAGCTCTTCCAAGACATCATCGCGGTTGCATTCAGCAGCCAAATGTAGAGGACTGATGCCACTTCGCTTGATTCGAGTGCGGCTAGTTACTGGGAGCAGCATTTTAACAATCCTAGCAGAAATGAATCAAGAGCCAGACATAAGTTTGCTTCTCTGAGGAGGACAGCCATCAGCCTCCAATAAGTGATGCTGCTCCTTGTAGCATCTAGGAACCCCACTATGTTAGATACTATGGAAGCTCATGACAAGAGACTCACCTAAGTCCTCAAATGGTCTTACAATATATGGTAGAGAAACTTCAGGCAAGAGAAGGGAAGAAGGTCACAACACCACACTTGGGAATGACCAATGACCTTGATCACTAAAGCAGTGTACAGATTATACTTTTTTCACAGCCTTAAAGGTGTTGTGATCAAACTATCATTGCCCTTCGGTTGCACACATTTTGTTTTCTGTCCCACTATGATCTATGGTCAAACAGAACTGATGTAAAAGCAGTAGGGATAAACCGCTAGGAGTCAGATAAAGCTCAAACAAGATGTGAAGGCACTCGGACATGAAGTTCAGTGGGTGACACTCGGCCAGTCACCATCTCTCAACCTGGCTTGCCACTGTGGGAAACAGGTTACTGGAATAGATGGGCCAGTGGGGCTCAGGGTCTGATCCAGTGGGGCTCTTCATACATTCCTACAAGCAGGCATTGCTCCACTACACTGAGACTGCCTACTGCATCTCCCTTATCCTACCTGAGCATGTGGGCTGTGGATTTACCACTAATGATGAACTTCCAGTCAAGAATATCTAGCAATCAAATGCCATTGAACAAGCATCTTTAGCTAGCTTAAGAAACAGTAAGTGGCAAGCAATGGGCTCATGCAAAATAACGCTCTCTTTCCTCTTAATCGACACAGTTGCTTGGACTTTATTATCTATGGAGACTTTATCAAACAGCAAATCATAAAAACATAGAAAATAATTAATTATTGAATCCAAATATGAGCATCTTATGTTTCTAGCCTGATGCCTCAGTATAATTGGGACTTTGAAAAAAAATCCCTTCTCTGCAAAAGAAAAAGGGATCTTATTCAGCAAACTACTCAAACACCTTTCGTTGCAAACACTTAATATTATTGAACAAAACTGGACTACCTTGCAATTCCTGTTTATCAGTCTTGCAGTCCTCCATTCTGTGCTTGCTCCCTCTAACAGTGGCAGACACACTTTCAATCATAGCAAGAATGGAGAATCTGTGGCCACCCAGATATTGCAGCTCAGGCCAGGTATAGCCCCAGCCAGCATGACCAATGGTTAAAGATGATGGGAATTAAACTCCAGCATGAAGAATTGGAACCCCTTCTAATGTTCATCTTGGATTACATGAACATCATACTGTAAGCCGTGATAAAGAAAGAGAAGCACAGGATAAGTTGTTGTCAGGATGGACTGCAAGGACTGAACCTATTCACTGAGCACATCCGGTCTGCAGGGATGCACTGTGCTCAGGAGATTGGTCAGAAGGACAGCATGAATCTGAAGCATTCCTAGACAATTCTATTTGAGACAGGCCTGAAATAATTCAGCATGAACCTTTAAAAGTTAGGGAAAGGTTGAAACAGCTGGAGCAAGATTGCTAATGGAAAAGTCTTACAAAGAACAGCTACTAGCCTGCTTGCTTTTATCCATGCTATCAAAACATTATGCCCTCATCAGCAGAAAAGATCAACGTTTCAAGAGGAAAATTACACATATCATTTCTCAAAGCAAAGAGGCTGACCTCACCCAACAGAGATGTTCCCTGGAAGGCAGGAAACCTGGGTGCTGTTTAACTGGTTACAGTCCATCACTAACAAATGCATTCTAACTGCCAAACATCATACACAGTGCTGAAAGGAGAGTATTCCAAACACCAGCATTAGTCATCCTGTGAGGTACTGCTGCTCCCCATAGACCTGAGGCACACTTCCCTCATGGATGGGGGAGCTCCCTGGGCCCCTACTGGAGCAAGCAGAAGGTTTCTTTGGGTAGTAATTCACATGCAGACATGCACATGCATGCATGTCATGAGCAGAGCTGGCTGGAACTAGATGGTCCGGAAGATCCCTTCTGACTTACTATGTTTCTATGATGTTTTGTGTGTGTGTGTAAAAATATAGATAGATGGTCAAGTCAGGATGACCTTAAACATCAACAGTAGACAACTATGACCTGTATTTTAAGTCCTCCTCTTCACTAAATCTTGGGGTGGATGGCAATGCATTTAAAAATAAATAGATATCCTTCAAAATGCCAGTCAGACAATATAGTTTCAAAGGAATTTGAATTTGTTGAGCAGTCTACACAAGCATATCTACATTAAGCTGGCATAACACTGAAATGTGGACACCTACACTGTTTCAGTCAGGCTTGGGTATGGCTAGTGCTTTCTTCCAGGCTTTTACCAGGGATAGGCTGTATGGGTCATTTGAACTGTTTGTCATCATGGCATTATATGATATAAGATACTTTCTTAATATGAGTTCAACAGGAACAATTTGTACCTACCAATTAGATAAGTTATTCAGTAGATACATAACATAATATAGGCATGGAATCATCAAGTGAATCAGTCCTAAGAAATTACTAGGGATGACCACCTAGCTCTTCCTATTCCCCTGAATGATGTTGACTTCTTTGCTGGTTTGTTAGTATTGTTCTCTCACTTCCATAATGATGAGTTCATCATACAGCTCACCAAATTACACTTGCTAATGTAAAAGGGGCTTCTGTAATATGACACCAATATTAGTACATCCAGAAATGAATACACAAGGAAATAATTCCCAACCACTTATCAGCTACAAATATTTATGCATGTGTGAAACAATATTTTACTAAGATCATGGTGATGACAAGATACATTATCCACATACACCTTTCAAACAGGGTGAGAGCATCATGTACAATGAACAAAGACCAAGAAACAAAAGATAAATAATCTCCTTGACTTTTTTGATGATATGGAACATTCAGGCCCTGGCAGTGAATCTGAATATGGAATTCCTGCAGAATTACGTAGTAAATCCACATGCTTACAAAGAGAGGTCACCATGAAGGGTGTTGTTATTCAGAATACAAAGGGATTAAAAATCACTGGCCCACATGGGGGCAATGTGTGTCATTTGAATAAATAGTTTGTCCGAGATTCTACAGATGAGAAGCTCTTTAACACTTTCATTGCACAACTGTTTTACAAGCACTTTGTCTTTAACTTTTGAGAAATGTTGGATCTTCAACCTTATTGTGATGTCTGATATAGTCATGTGAATTAACCAGTCAATGCAATATACAATTCTGTACCATTTTGTTTCTGAAGCAGAGAGGAGTCCAATAAAAATTATGCTTCAGTAACTGCATTTTAATCTGCAAGGTTGCCATCAACCTGTGTGATTTAATCAAGTGCAATCCATTGACTGTGGTTCAGTAAACTGAGAGTAATCCAAGAATAATTTACCTACACAGTGATTTATGTATTCTTTAATCAAGGGGTAGAGGAGTACTTCATTCAATTTTTTGTTTTATAGAAACTTGCCAAAATTTACAAAAGGCCTGCATTTTAAAAATGCCAAATGTGGAAGAAACCAAAACTGACAGATGTACCCATCCAGGCCCAGGCCTTTGAAAGGTTGGCTTTAAAAGGCCTAGGTTTGAATCCCTGTGTTAGTATGTATGCTGAATCAGGGTTGCCATGAGCAAAATGTTAGAATGAATTGTACCATTTAAATCTATAGGTAAGGTTTGCAGTTTTGAATGCTTCCTCATAAAAGAAGCAGACGGAAATCTAGTTTTATTTATTTATTATTTATTTATTTTATTTATTAAAACATTTTTATGCCGCCCCATTTGCCGAAGCCTCGGGGCGGCTTAGTTCTAAGTCACTCTTTCGGTAGCTGTGCTGGGAGTTTTTAATGTAAGGGAGGAAGCAATCCCCTCCCCCCTTTTGCTTTCAAATGCCTGTCTCCAATTGAAATGTGTGCGCACTATGAGTCTTAATTATATTGTGTTTTGGGAGTTAATATGGTTGAAAGGTAAAAGAAATAGTTATGCAGATTAGACTGAGGGAGCCACAGTTATACAATGTAATGATTAGGAGATAGGCATGGGGAAACATTGATAGAAGAGTTGATTTGATAGAGTTGGAGAGGGCCAGAAAACCAGTAGGAAAAGTTGCTCATACAACTTGGCATCCTTCAACATCTCAGTCTTCACTGCCATGTGCGACAAGTAATGAACATGTGAAGCACTTTAAGAGTCTCCATCACTACAGGTGTTCCAGATCTACACTCTAGGAGTGTGTGAAACTGTTCTGGACAATCAAATGCATCTAGAGCATTATTACAGAACTATACTCCAAGTCTACTTAAAACTAAGTAGTGGACATGTGATAAGGCAAAAAAGTATTGGATTAAAATACACAAATGGCTTGAGGAGATTTTACAAAAACCTCTAACATTTAAACCTGAAGTTTTTTTATTAGGCATTATACCTGATGATCTTAGTAAACAAGCAATGTATTTGACTCTACATGTAACCACTGTGGTGAGGATTGCATTTGCCCAACACTGGACGAGTGAAGAGCCACCTACTGATGAACTGATTCTAAAAGAGATCTTGGACTGTGCGGAAATGGACAGATTGACTTTGTCTCTGAAGGAGAAAGAAGACTTCTACCAAACTTGGGACTCTTTTTACCATTGGCTAGAGAAATGGGACTATGCATAGACTTAAATATGTTTATAGTTTAACATAAAAAGAAAAAATGTGAGGGGCTGACACAGTAGGTCTGATGTTATCAATGATCGATGCTTTTTAGGTTTTTTTTTTGTTAGGTATATATTAAGAATAAAACTTATTCAAAAGAAAACATCCACCAAAATTTCCCTATCTTGTTCACCTGGACTTGTGATAGGTAAAGATATGCAAAATACTACCCATCATTTCCCACATTTTCCCTACATCAAGAAGGAAAGAAATGCTCATTGTCTTCTTTCTTCCTTAATGTCTGAGACCTAAAAATCAATATTCCAACATCCATGAGCAATCTTAGAAAAAGTGTTTTAATTGCTACTTTCAGGAAAGAAGGATAAAAAAGAGCAACTCAATTCTATGAACACAGAGAAGATCCCTCCTATCCCTCCCTCCTAGGGACACTTCACAGTTTCTGTTCAGTAGAGCAGCTCCCTTCCCTTTTTCCTTTCTATAGTCCCTTCTCTTCCAAAGAAGGAGTCAAAAGAGCTTTCCATCACCTCACAAACCAGAAGATAGGGAGAGATAAATGCTTGCATTATCTTCCCTTTTCTTCTTCCATAAATCAATTATTCCCTTTCTTCTCTTTTTGCTAATATTTCACTCCATTCCAAACTCCCAAGCCTTTGGACTTCAACCATTATTTTCTATGCACCCCATGGCATCTAGCCTTGTTATCTTTGGCCTTCTCACTGCAAATGAGTGGCTTCAATTCCCTGGATGTATGTATACTTCCAATTTCCCTGATGCAGAATTTTAATTCATTTTAAAATCATCTTTAATAAAACAAAGAATGGCTTTCAAGGATCTTACTGCTGTCTTTGACTCTTTTAGCTTTTGACAGCATTAAGTTTCCCTAAGCACCCAGAGTTCAATGTCAAAAGAATCCTTGCATTTTTGTATGATTTATATGTATCTAAAACACGTGTCCATGTAACAAACATACTTTGTAACATGCATACAGACAAATAAGAACAAGCAGCAGCACTCCAATCCCAAAGTTTAAAAGATAGGTGAGTACTGGAAGGAGGTGAGCAAGAGAAGTATCTTCTAAGCATACCCCCTGTGCAAACTCAGATCCTTCAAAATAGAATACCCTGGATTCACCCACGTGATTGCTGCAGACCCCCATGACTTTTTAAGGCCTTGGTGGGTGTCAGTGCATACTGTCAGCCAGTGACTCATCACACAGCAGGAGACAGCCACTGGCACAGGGTGGGTTGCTGGCAAGGCTAACAACCCACCTTCACCCAGAAACAGCACAGTGGTTGTGGGTGGTTTGTTTGTGGCTTGCAACAACCCACCCTTATGTGGTTCAGATGTCATGATAAACTGCAGCTTGGATATTTACAATGTCTGACAGCATGTGCTGCAACCTATTACTACAATCCACTGAAACTGATGTGGATAGTAACTTAAAATTTGTTATCTCAAAGTTCTATTGTGAACATGACTGGGTTTTTAATCTCTCAATTTTTATTTTATGCAAAAATAATTCTTATGCTAAACCCAACAACAACCATGAACAGAGCAAGCAACTTACTCATAATAGCCTTTTTTGGAGGCCACGTGAATAGGCAAGAAGCCATCTTTATTGGTTTTGTTAGCATCAGCACCTTGGGATAAGAGAAACTCTACAACGTTATCATGTCCGTTTTTAGCAGCTTCGTAGAGAGCAGTTGCTTTGTCACTGGCTTGAGTATTGATATCAGCACCTGGAAACAGAACACACAGACGATACAATTCAGTTTCAGAAGATCTGGAATTATGAGTATCTCTCTCTAGGGCAGAACTTTCCATACTGAAAGGGGACTTCAAGGTGCCTCATGTCTCTAATGCCAGTAAAGTGGTACAGATGATACAAGATCTTGTTCTTCAGTATACAGCCCTTGCCAGCAGGACCAATGGCTGGCGAGCTGAAATCCAAAACACCTGGAGATCCACTCCTGGATTAAATCAGTTAGAAAAAAGGGACCTGTAACAAAATGTATCAGCAGGTCCAGTGGGAGTGCTCCTATCTGCCAGACCTGCATGCACTTCTTCAGGTAACTATAAACTGTCAGGCAGGGTTGGGAAATATTCAAACTAAAGACCTAATTCAAGCCAGCAGACCTCCCCATCTGGCCCATGTTGCTATTAGAATTGTCTCCCTTCAGAACTGTACTTTTATTGATAGGCAAATTTATGTGGATGCAATTGATTCATCAATTAAAATTCATGTATTTAATAACTTAGGTATTCTTTAAGTGTATACTTTGTTAAAATCATAATTTACAAATAGCCCTACAGGCATTTCACCAGAATAAGTCAAGGAAATGCAAGTACACCAATCTGTCAAATAATACACATACTGATAGGCAAATGATTTCAATGAACTATAAAATGGCATCACAGTAAATGCTCTCAAAATATCATGCTTTTGTATAATTTTTCCCAGTGTATAACCTTCAAATCTTGCTGAGAATCTTCCTGCCCCACCAAGATATGAAAAGTATGTCAAAGTGATGGCTATTAATACATATTAACTTCGAACATGAACTTCTTGAGACTAGAATGTTGACAGTCTTCTGTTGGAAAGGCTGCTAGACAGACTGAATAAAAATCAAAGCTAGAAGCTTAAATTTGGTTCCTGAAAACCGAATATTCCAAATGAACAGATAAATTTGTATCTCAAAGCCACAACTGCATGAAAGGCAATTGTGCAGTTCTACTTACCACACTTGGCAAGATATCGTAAGGCTTCTAAGAGGCCACTCTCAGCCGCCACAAACAAGGAGGTAATTCCATAACAGTTGGTAGCTTCAACTTTGGCACCCCCTTTGACCAAAAGATCTATTATTTCCAAATCATTTCGAGCAACAGCTTCGTGGAGAGCGGTCCATCCCCGATTGCAGCGATGGTTTGTGTCAGCATTGTACAGCAACAACAGCTGCACAGCTTCGGCATTTTTGCGTTCGCAGGCTATCACGACAAAAGAAGACTGAGGTCAGGGACAGGAAATACTGAGGCTTTCGGCTTATCCTGTTCTTCCGTGATCCTCAGTCTGGCGGGCCACCCACTCTCCACTGCACGACTGTCACCCCATGGTGTTGCACAGCAGAGAGGTGTAACCCTTCCTACTCAGGATGTTACGACACAGATGACGACTAGGTGCAGATGAGCTGAGGTCCCAGGCTTTATAGTCCTGGACAGGGAGGCACTCCACAAAAGCATTAATGAGTGGGAACCCTCTCATCCTCAGCTGACTGTTGCAGATCAGTTGAGTAGGGCAGCAGGCCCAATTTTCACCCCCATCATGGCACACTGGACCTGCAGATGGAAATCTCCGCCCCACAGTGCACTGTGATGGGAATGAGATGAAGGTGCTAGGAAGTGTGTATCTGTGTGTGTGTTGCACGAACTGGGTGTGTGATAATACAGTGGCTAGTATGTATATAAGTGTTTTGTGAATTTTGTTTGAACTGTGCATATATGAATGGTGTGTATGAGAGACAGAATGTGAGTGAGGAATAGAGGGCATTATGGCCATCAATGCCCATTTGGGGCTGTGGCCTTACCCAGCTCTAGCACGTGGCTCTTGGGAACTTTTCTGGGTGGCAATGCAGCCCTTGGACCAAATAAATAGGTATCCACACCTAGTTTAGGACTATAAATCATCAACTTGAAAACATTTAACTGGGCAGAAGGTAGATCTGTGAGAGATTTGCAGTAGCTTAGCAAGGATTTCTGACTCCCAGTTATTTCAATATTTAACAATTATTTGGCAGAAAAGTTAATCCCTAAATTATACTGTTGAAATGGAAATAGTTTTGGATGAGCAGGCAAGGATTTTTCAGTTTCAGTTCTGATACTCAAAACAAATTGTTGGGCTCACAATCCTTTTAAGTGTATGTTGTTTGCACTAGATTCTGGTTGATGGATAGTAAAAAGAAAAAACCTATGTGCATCCTACAGGCCTGAAGTCTACTCATGCTGGACTATGGCAAGGACCATGAATCCATGCAAGGCCTTATTTTAGTCTATATATTTTTTCTTTTTAAAAGTAATAAATAGATTTCAGCTTGCATTTGGAATATAAAAAGATTCCACCCCCAAGGGGCCACATTGGCCACATTAGGATTTGCCTAATATACATATTTTGTATATATGTGTGTGTGTGTGTGCGTATATATATATATACTATTTTTGTATATATGTATATAGTGTGTGTGTGTGTGTGTGTGTGTGTGTGTGTGTATACTATTTTGCTAAATATACCCATTTTTGCAAGGAATTTTCCCTTATATATTATTTTGTATGTTATTTCCCATAATATATGCATTTTAGTATTCATTTTTGATGGAGGTCTTCATTTCAAAATGTGTAGACATGCAATTGTCAAAGGATACTTGCATTTCAGTTCACATAATCATGCAAGAAGTGTGAATTAAAATATAAATCAAACAAATGACACCCTGCTATGCCCTGGAAGCATTTCCAAGTCTAAAAATATCACTAAATGTGGGCTAGAGGCTCAATGGATGTAAACACAGTTTCCAGCTATAGATCTGGGCCACTAGTTTGTTTGTGATTTCTGAGAATCACGCCACATACCTTTATAAAGGGGGGTCTCCCGAACTTTGTTTGAAATATCAGGTTCTGCTCCAGCCTGTAGCAATGAACGCATACAATCAATATTTCCTCTGTTTGTTGCTAAGTAGAGTGCCGTTTCCTCCTGGAGTGTACGTTGATCAATTGTCCCAGGATAAGCTGTTGAGAATCCATTAAACAAAGTTTAACATGGAGTGGACATAAATATTGTGTCATTTTTAATTATCTATAATATGTATTGTTACCATGTCAAACTGGAATCAATTGGAAACAAATCCAGTACATACTGTATTTCAAGTCTCTTCCTCACTACCCCCCACAAGAAAAAAATCAAGTCTAAAGCTGTACATGTTTCCCTCTCATTTTCTTGCTCCACTTTTGCTGGAATATATATAATTTTCTAGAAAGGTGTGAGAAACCCGGTTGCCTCAGTTCAGCACCATCACCACCATCTTCTGCCAGTGTTATGAGCAAAGTCTTCTGTGTATTGAGAGAAGCTGCACCAAATTTTTATCACAGTGCAAACTAGGATAGAATAGGGAGAGATTAAAGGACACGCACGTGCACACACAAACACACACACACAAGGACAAAGTATCCTTCATGATACACCAGGAAAAATGAGAGGAAACCAGGACATGCTCCCAATTTCACCATAAAACAGTGACTAGAACTGTTATCCTGGGAGACTCTTGCTTTCCTCTTGCTTGCTATCTGTGATATCCCATGCCAGGGGATAAGACGGTGGGGTAAAGTTATGGTAAAAATATTATTTTTGAACAATACCCTCGCCTTCAACTTTGGAAAAAAATTACAAGCATTAAGTTATAAGTAAATTGCATGTGCAAACCTAGATTGAATAAGGATGAAATACAACCAGATGGGTTATGATGTAGTCTGTGTTTTGTGTTTTCATCTATCTATGATCAGTTCCCTTTCAGATACTTGCATTTCTGCAGCAGCTTCACACAGCTCTCTTTTCCATAGTAAGCAGCATCATGGAGGGGCAACCATCCATCTTTGTTTGGCTGTGCAAGGTTTTTTCCAGACTGCATCATCTTATGCAGTGCCTCTTCATCTCCTTCCTTGATTGCCGACAGCACAGGATCCAGTACTCTTTAAAACAAGGGTGAAGAAGTCACTATTTGCAGAATTGCTTCTGTCATTTGCAATGGTAAGAGAGCATTATCCAGTGGATACTTGTGTGACATGAAATGAGAAATTTACAGATATTTCAGATACCACAGTGGTTCAAACTACTGTGTTATTTTTGACTGATAGATAGGTAGATATTTGCAGAGACTTCTTAAATGTGCCTCCAAGCTCCTACTTAACCCAAGTCAAAATCTAAAGAAGCAGGCAATCGACTTCTTGGATCATTATAGAAGGGTATGGGAGGGAGGTTATAACAGAAACACCACAGGCAGCATTTTATGGCAGTGAATCTAATTCATTTGATAAGAAAAAAAGATAACCATTCAAATCTGTCTTTCAAATCCCCTGCAACAGAGGAAAGATTTGAAGAAAAAGTCCATTGTCAGTCTCAAAGAAATATGCAGACTTTACAAAACTGCAGTTGTCAAATCCATTCAAGATACTGGAACGCTGAAATCAACTGGACTGCTTAATAATACAATATGTATTCTGGTCTTAGGGCCACAGTCAATGGGTAGATATTTGCTTTTTTTTTGCTCTGTTACACTATATAACTGCAGAGAACTCTGTTATTTGCTGAGTGAGGCACAATCCGATGCATGTTTAGACAGTATGGCTGGCTGGGGAATCCTGGGAGATGTGTGTGTGTGTGGGGGGGGGGCGTTCTGTTTAAATTTGCACAGGATCCTAAAAGAACTAATCAGCAAGGTACAAGGAAAGTGAAAACACAAACACCAAACATTGATCTTGTTGACCAATCAGAACTGAAGGAACAGTCATGTTTGCATTCCTGTACAAACAACCTGACCTGGAATCCCATGTACAAACCCTTGAAAATAAGAAAGTGACATAGTGATGAATAAAAGTTCATTTGCTTTTTTAAAATCAAATGATTTTTGTTTATAACCATTGGTGTGATGACCCATTCAGAAAGTATTCTGTTAACATTCTTTATGCCCAATTGCGTTCCAGGAAATGTCAGAGAGCATATCATCTTTCTATAAAAATTCCTGGTTTCTTCTTCTTATCTGCTTTACTTTATTCATCAATGACTTTTAAAAAATCTTGACAGTCATACATTCACATTTACTAACTTGAAAAAGACCAAAATTCAATGACAGAGCACTTGCTGTGTATGTGGAAGGTCCCAAATTTAATTTCCAGTTGGTTGTCTAAGAGGACGCTGTGAAGTGGGAAAGTTCTCTACCTTGGAAAACCAATGTCAATCAAAATACTTTGGACCAACAGTCTGTCTTAATGGACACAGCTCATTCTCAATTCTGCAAAGCACTGGAGAACATGCCATCCCTGTGTAGCCTCAGACTTGCAAACCAAGTTCAAAATGCTAGTTGTTATCCTAATTTGCAGTACAAGGGCACACCATTACTGGTTGTGATGTGATGAAAAACCATGAGTTGTACTACAGAAAGCAACTGGATTGGAGCATTTGAAGGGAAGGGAAGGGAAGGGAAGGGAAGGGAAGGGAAGGGAAGGGAAGGGAAATGTGAACACAAGGTTGTTCACCTAGCACCACGCTATGGTTTGTTATTCCATAACTGTCCCAAGATGCCAACATATGGGATGGCATATAAAAGTTTGAATAAACAAACAACAAACAAACAAACCCAGCATAAGGTTGCCTCAAATATTTACAGAGGATCAGCCACTATGCAGTCCTACAAGCAGGCATGCATATTTTGCATTATGGCTCCACATGCTCTGTTTCCTTTTTCATTGTTAGATCCAGCAAGCATACAATGAATGCCCACTGAGAAAACACTGGTATTTAAAAATGATCTAGGATAATGTTTTAAAGGTAGTGGGAGACAGGAGAGGAATGGAGGTTGAAATACATACACCCAAAATATTACAAACCATAGCACAGAGCTGTGAACAGTTTATTTGGCACTTGTACTGAGACTGCCCCAGAACCTCTTTGTAACGCCAAGCTTCAGGCACCGAAAAAATGAGATATCAATGTACCCTATCAGCATGTGTTGAGTGTCTTTTTGTCACCACTTCATCAGCATGGCTGGCCCACACAGAACAGGGAGATTATAGGGAAGAATGGAAGGACTGATGTCTATCAGCTAACAGAACAGCATCCATAGCACTAACACACAACCCTGCATAAGTTAAAAATAACTCATGTTCTCTTGAAATCAGCAGCAGAGGGCTGGTGGATCCTCCAGAGCCTGTTTGGGGGAAAGGAGAGGAAGCAAGCATTCTACCCATGTGATACTGCCTGCCACCCAGGCTTTCCAAGAGCATGGTTTCTGGGAAAGAAAGGGCTTGGATTCTTCTTTTCAGAAATTAAACTTTGCAGAAGTTGTTAGAAAATGTTTCAGCATCACCAAATGCATCACTTTGGACATATTCATCAATTTGACAAATACCAACTTGAAATTATCTCACATGTTTCAAGCTTCACACAGTATATGACTGATGGAAAAACCCTAGTAATGCAGGCTGAGAGGTCTAAAGTCCTCTTCCCGTATTTGTATTTCTTGCTGTTGTTGAGCACAGCAGTCTCTCTCTCTCTCTCTCTCTCTCTCTCTCTCTCTCTCTCTCTCTAGAGCATTTGTACGCCGCCCCATCGCATAGCCTTGGAACAGCTTACATAAATAAAACATAATACAGATAAAATCCAGATCCACCCTGATTGCATATTAAAACCTATAAACTGACATTAAACACCAAATGTTGCTAAGACCTGATCCTTTGTCTTCTCCATGTTTATTTATTACAGTTACAGCTTGCCTTTTTTTCCTACAAGGAACCCCAGGAGGCTTACATAACCCTCTTCCCAATGTTACCCTAACAACAACCCTGTGAAGTAGGTTAGGCTGAGTGTCAGCAACTAGCCCAAAGTCACCCAGTGAGCTTCAAGGTCAAGCAGAGATTAGAACCCAGATCTCCCAAATCCTAATCCAGCGCACTAACCACTGTATCACACTGGCACACTGCGAGTTGTTCTCTATTGCATGGGTTCTCACCATTTTTTATAATCAAAGTACAGATTATCAGCCAGAGCAGAGAAAAATAACTTCAGTCAGATTTGTTTATGGTTGTGACATGGGAGACGGTCAATTTAAATCAACCACTCATCATACACCCTGTTCCCCAGGTCTGTTGTTTCAGTGTCACCCAGACCCCAGCAAGATGATGGAGATACTTTCATGGGGGCTAAAGAGGGTCCGTTCATGATTTGGAAGCCCCAAGGGAATGGGGGAGCTGGTGGTCTGAATGAAGAGGGCAAGCAGTAACCAGGACAGAGGAGCTCAGAGGAAATTATGTGAATTCCGCATGAGATGTGTAAGGTCATCAAACCACCACCAGCCGCCCCAGTACCCCAAATCCAGGTGTTTATCCAGACCAAGCACCCAAGAACAGCAAGACTGTTTTTAAGAGGAAAGTGGGGAAGGCTGACTTACTCAGGCTGGGGCGGACTGAACAAGCTGCCGTCGTACCTCCGTCTGACCCCTGAACTGGAAGGTTGGCTTTGGCTTCCAGACTGTGCAGCACGCCTGAAGTGATGACAGCAGGAATGAAATAGTGAGAAGTACTCTGAATAGGAAAAGCAAGTCATATTTGGGGCTCTTAAAGGAGCGCCCAGAGACAGAGGAAGGGACTGGAGGGGAGAACGGCGGCGGAGAGAACCTGTCACTCCTCTGGGGCTTGAATCAGGCACAGGCAGCCTCCGCTTGTGTTAGCCCGGCTCTCAGCTGCTCCCTCAGTGCTGTGGATTATTTTTGGCCTTCAAGAGGAAGTGTCAGGGATGCAAATGACCATATAAGACAACAGGGAGATTAATCCCACTGCCACTGCACAGCAGGGGCAGAGAAAGGGTTTGAAGGCATTCTTCACCTCAGGAACAACAAAGCATTGAGAAGTTGCTTGGGAAACAACCCAGGCAAGAAAGTTTTGCGAGAACTGTTCCGGACAAGGCCAAGAGCTGATCACTGGGGTGGACAGGCCCAAACCTAACATTGTGCTTATATCTTGCAGTCAGGTATCGTATTTGCCAAGTACCCTAAGCCATTTTTATGATGAACGTTGATTCCTGAGTATTCCTGTGGGACCTATGCATGGGGGCAGGGGGGATACAAATCACATTTGCATCTGTCTAATTTCAGATAAGGATGCTGGAGAAATTTGCAAAAGTCTCAAGTTAGAAATTGTAAGAATCTAAACCAGGAATTCCACTGTAAACAGGCTTTCCTAAATAATGCAGGTTCCATAGACTTTTTCCAAAAAAAAAAAAAAAACTCTTCCTGTAATTTACACATATTTAGTTATAGAGAAATACAGACCATTAAAAAAATGACCAAAGATATCCGTTTTACTTGTAGGCTATCATGTGAAAATACACATTTGGGAGGATTGGCGTATGTTGGAGAGATATGCATATTTGATGAAATTTGCATATTTTCAGGAGTGAAAATTTGTGTAACTGCAAATTCTTGTCAATGTGTGCAGATGCACTTGGGCAAAATCCAACACCATCAGTAAGCAGGCAATGGAATGAAGGTACCCAACAGTCTGTAAATGGTGTGGTTTTTGTAGCATGTGTGCATCCCTAGTCTCATCTGAAACTGGAGGACAAGGGCAGGCTTGCCGAAGGCCTAGCAAGCTAAGCCTCTGCAAGGCCCTTTGAATTAGATTCTTGCATGGACATTCGCCTGTGCAGATCTTTCTATAAGCTGAAATGTGGCCTTCATTCAATGCATTTACCAGTGTCTCACCTCTGCTGTTCACAAGGAGTAGCATTCAATGGGATTCTTCTGCTCATGCCAGTTCTCTCTCACCCTGCTGATTGCGTTGCGTAAGTGGCTCCCACTGCTTGCACAATGGCCAATTTGCACTTACGGGGCAGCACAATCAAGCAGAAATGCTTGTTTCTTGAAGGAGGCAGGAGAGTGAAGCTGACATAAAAGAAATTGCCAACCTGCCTCCTTTCAGAAATTTCAGCAATTAGTATTTGGGTTCATTTTCTGTTCTCCCCTAGGAAGTACTAAATCTCTGTTGACATAAATTGAAGGTCCCGCTTGTGTTGCACAGTTGAGAGGACCCACTGCTCAGGCATCATAATTGGTGGGGTGGAAAAGAATTGGCAGAGTGCTTAAACAACCCACTGGAGACCACTCAAACACGGACTTGCAAGCACAGACTTGCACTGCATTTTGCAAATATGGAAAACATACTGCCTTCAACAGATGCAGAAAGGCACATTAAAGCTCAATCTTATACATACTTACTCGAAAGTCAATCTAATTGCATTCAGTCAGGCCAATATTCCATAGATGTGTATAAGATTGCACCATAAATGACTTTGCTGCAGCTCCCTAGGTCATGTTACTCCCATCTATTCTAACTTTAACTACAAAGTTAAAATAAACTAATTTTAAAATGACCAGGTTTATTCTGGTCCGTGTAAATTTCCCCCCAAGAGGGATTTCATACATCAAAGTAATTGCCACCATGATTCAGAGTCTTCTGACCCTGTTTGTAACCTAATAGCATGGTGAAGGAAACTCATAAACATACCCCACCCTTGCAGTATTGCCCAAGAAAAATTAAAGTGCTGATGGTGTCAAACTGCTTTGATTACTGTGATGGCTCAGACCAGTTGGATAAAGGCTTCCGTCGTTTTCAAATTTAACTTTTGGCATGAGAACTGACATGCATTAAGTCATTCTCAAGTGATCTAGGCAGACACATGTATAGAAGCACTATTCTCATAAGTGACTTGTATTTATTTATTTATTTATTTATTTATTTATTTGGGATCTCTCTAGGCCATCCAATCACACTGAGTCTCTGGATGACTCACAACATCTTGTACTCATGTAAAGACTCCTGAAGGGCACAGGACAAGGCCAATTGTTTATTTCACCAGGCAAAACATGAATTGTAAAATTATTTCATCTTTCTGGTGACAAAAGAAATCCAGAGTCAACCAACATGTGAGGGATGAACTCATTATTTTAAGTGCTGGACTACTGGGTCTGTGGGAAATGCTTGCATGGCAAAGTACCATGGCAAAGTACCACACATCCTTATATCCATTCAGGAATCCATATCAGTGTCAAATTACACATTGTACTGAACACGCTTTTTAGAAAGAATGCTTAAGCTGGCAACTTTTATTTAGGAGGAAAAGCAACTATGCATGGTTCTGATCTGGTTCATGCATGGGAGTGTGATCCAGGTTGGGATCCTGTGCCACTTATGCAAGCTTTTGCAAAGGAATGCTTGATGTAGTATGTAGCTTGCCCTCACTGTCTTCCAAGTCAAATATTTATGATCAGAAGATAGTAATTTTAGGGTTGGTGATTCATCCATGATTCATTGACCTCCCCGCCTGCCCCCCACACATATGGCATTCAAAACAAAAGCAAGCAAACAAAATTTGTGCCTTTCTCTTCATCCTAGGAATCCAGAATAGCATATATGAGGTTCCTTCCTAGGCAATCTCCAGTTCTTTACTAGTCAGGGCTACACCTGCATAGCCTCACAGAGGTTAGCATATGGAACATCCATTTCAGATTTTACATGTGACCCATCCATGACAAGATAATTAAGAGGAACTTCAAGCAAATTAATTTGGCACAAATGTTTAGGGCTAGGGGTGCTGCATAAACAGTGAAATCCCAGTAGGAGGTTTCATTTTGTTTTCATTTTGTTTTTGCTTTCTTGCTTGCTTACCTTTGCCAAGGGTAAAGGTAAAAATTTTGACAGTAAGGGTCAGTGGGGGCTGCTGTGACTGTCTTCTGTGTGGCTATTTGTTCTGCGGGATCTTCTGACAGGCTCTGCTCGATGGCCAGCTGAACGAGCTCTTCTTCACTCATGCTGCTATACAGACTGTAGTCTTCATGCCCTATGGTTCCTGTTTGCGAATTTCTCGCCACTGTGACCTGCGTTGTCATCTTCCGGGTTAGGTTAGAAGTGATGGTTTAGAAAGAAAGAAAACCTGGAAGGCATACAAACAAGTCTTACATATCTTGTCATGAGTGGGTCACCCGGACCTGTATTTTACAGAGAAGCTGAGCACACACTCCCCTCCCCAACTTTCTGAGAAACTAGGAAATAAGAGATCAGAGTGTCCTCTTCCCATCTAATTTTGAACTTGAATCTTGTGGGTGGCCAAAGGCATCCATAAGGCTTCTGCTTTCATGAGGTACAAGGAATTCTTTTTAATGCTACTGTTTCTGTTGCTGAGTTCTGCTTGATAGTGGTGCTCTTATGCAGTTTTAGGGTTGATTGTTTGCTTATTTGGGTTTTTAAGAGTGTATCCTTTGTGTGTATAGCTGGCTGATACTGGGAACTGCAGGTCATTTTTGTTGCCTAAACATGCATGAGATTGCATCCTAAAATCAATTCATTTCAATTCCTAGTGTGGAAGCACCCGAGGTATGGTTTTGGGACATGGAGTGGAATTATCCCCTCCTTTGGAACAAAATTGCCATGAAACCACTGTTCAGAGCTATTGCCTTTAAGACTGCTTGGGAGTTTTCCAGAAACACCTGCAACTGGCCATCACTGGAAAGAAAGTGTTGGGAAAGTGAGCCAATGGGTAATTCCTATATGTTTAATGGAAATCACTTGCTGATACCCAGTCTTTGCAGGTGAAATGACCAATAATGCTACCAGGGCTGGACCTTAACACTGATGCCCAGGTCTCACAACCCAGCAGGCCCCAAATGACCCCTCCAGCAGAGATTGTCAGGTGATCAAAGTAGAAGTAGCTGGCATCAACACTTGGGCTGGCATTGACAGACATCACCAGGGGCTCCTGGCTGGGCATGTATATTATTAAAGTTGCTTGTTTTTTTCTTTTAAAAAATGTACCTTTTCTATAACAATGCACTTCAGGTGGGGCATATTCTTTTCTCCATTTTTCATCCCAAATGAACATGACCAGGTCAAAGTAGCAGCTATACGCTTTACTAACCCTTACAGCACAGGATCATTCAATTCAGACACTGCTGGTTCAGAATAATTTATCTGGGATGGTGGTAAATAGTTGCAGGATAGGGTGGAAAGTCCCCAGGGCAATACTGGTCAATGGCTGCAAGATCAGGATGGACACTCACAGCGTAATATGGTAAAGTAACTTCAGATCAAGGCAAACACTTACAGAGAACAAAAGTAATTACATGCAGCATCAAAGGGAATACCTATCTAGTGATGCCAGCCGCAGATAAGTAGATGGAGAGTCGGGATTATTTGTTACTGAGTTTGCTTTAGAAGTTTATTCTTGACCACTTCATGCTGCATGTTCCTACTCATAGCTTAGTACCCAGGAAAGTCTCTCACATTTCTTAAAAGCCACTCCTCTGATTCTGCTAGTTGCTCTTCCCTCATTCTTCTACCTTCTGTCCTTTCCTGTTGTATTTTTCAACAGCTCCGCATGATCTATTTTGTGCCAGCCTTCTCTTTCCATTGCCCTGAGCTGACAGTATCAGGCTTTTATCTTGGGCTTTTGCCCCATTTCTTTCTTCCTTAGAGTCCTTGAGGCATTTAAAGTACACTCGTCTCGATTTTCTTTTTCTTCTGTTTAACCAGCCCTAACTTTGGTTGGCTACTGCTGCTGGCAACCAGGGATACCCAGAGAACTGTACTGCAATCCCCAATGGCCCCTCACACCAAGTACATGTATTTTTGCTTTAGGGTAGCAGAAACAAACTGCCTTTCATTCCCAGAGGCTGCATTTGCAAAACACCCTAACCTACCCTGGGAATATGTTACTCATAGAACAACCCATGGTGCACCTGACAGATGATCAGGTTTACTGTGGTTTGTTCTCCTGCTCCTTTCCCCTCAGTCCTTCTGCACCTATTGCAGTGTCAGTTTTGGCATCATACAACTTATCTCCCGCTCCCTGTTCCAAGACCTACCTCTTTTTTATAGCATTTTATAAATGTTGCTGTGTGTCATCTGCCATCAAATCATCCCCAACTCATGGTGACCCTGTGAATGAACGCCCTCCAAACCGTCCTGTTCTTGACAGCCCTGCTCAGCTCTTTTGAGGCTGGCCTTGTAAGGCCCAGCTCAAGGCTGCGGCTTTCTTTATGGTATTGCTCCATTTCATATTTGATCTTTTCCTCCTTCGTCTTTCACCTTCAACTTTCCCTAGCACGACTGGCTTCTCCAGTGACCCTCACCTTCTCATGATGTGCCCAAAATATGACAGCTTCAGCTTTGTCATTTGTGTTTTGAGGGAATATTCTGGCTTAATTTGAACTAGGACACACTTATTTTTCTTTCTGTCAGTCCAGGTTATTTGCAAAGCTCTACTCCAGCTCCATGTTTTGAATGCATCAATTCTCTCCCTGTCAGCTTTCTTCACTGGTCACTGTATTGGGAATACAATCGTGTGGATGATCTTGCTCTTGTTGTCCAGTGAAACATCCCCACACTTGGTGATCTCTTCTAGTTCCTTAATCGCTTCCCTTCCGAGTCCCAGTCTTTTGAGCTGCAATCTCCATTTGAATTGATGACTGAGCCAAGGTATGCAAAATCTTTCACAATTTCCACTGCTGAAAGTAAACTGCTGTAATTCTTCTGTAATTTTTGCACAACTGGCAATCTTCCTCTATGTCAGCCGAAGCAGACCAAGAGGCCAACTGAAGCATGCAGAAGAGAGATGCTGCATGCACAGCAGTCAGGAGGGGCTGCTTTCCTGGTAGGTGCGCACTCATTGGATGCACCCCAGAAAGCTCCCCTGTGACCAGGAGCAGCACTCCCTCATGTGCCAGAGCAGCCACTGAAACAGCAGCTGCTCTTTGCCATGACGAATGCCGGTCATGGGGCCCTCGGTTGCAAGGCTCCTGCTAGGAAAGGAGCCCCCAACCACCACTGGGACAGCTGCTCGGGCTGCCGTGCTGCATCACAAGACATGCCTCTGTGTGGTTTGCATCAGGTCCCCTCTTGACAGAGTATCTAACTAGATGTGAGAGGACCCCCCCCCCCGTGTCTTTCATGCATTCACTTGCATGCATCTGCAGCTGCGTGAGTCTCCACCTGACATGAAAAGGGGCTCTCTGGGAAGCACCTCCTGTGTTTCCCCTCTCAGCTTCCCCAGTTTCCTCCTTGCCCATCTTACTTCCATTCTCTGAGCTCGGCTGGGGAGGAAAAGTGACAGATGCCAGCTTAGTGGTGGAGAACCTGCTTTGCATGCAGAGGCACCAGTTTCAATCTTCGACTTTTCCAGGTAGGCTAGGAAGGGTTCCTGCCTGAAACCCTGGAGCATTCCTGGCTGTCAGTGTTGGCAGATGGACCTGGCCTGAGCCGAGTCCTTCCCTTCTTATCCTTAGGCTCTAAAACACCAGACAGTCTGTTTGCAAAGCAGATCTTTGTTGGCACTTTGCTGCTACAACACAAAGCAACCTTAAAACCTTAGTGAGTTGGAAGATCAGCCTCTGCTCATGTCCAGAATGTTGAACCCAAACTGGGAACTTCTCCCCAAAGTACTTCCCTTTCTGTAACTCTGTGGGCTCCATCCTCAGAGTGGCTCCTGCTGGTGTGCATGCCCTTTAACTGGACCACTTGTCTATCCCAGTGCTCCTCATGGGCAAAGGAAGAACCTTCCCTTGTCCCCTTCTCTGACTCCTCCGGTCTTTTTCAAAGCATTCCTGCCCTCCTGGTCAGCCTGGGAACCTGCTAGTAGCAACCCAAAGGGTGCTTCAAAGGCTTTTGCTGCTCCCTGAATTTCCCAAACCCCCATTTCCAAGTTTTCAAGTCCTCCCCACCAAGATGACCCTGAGATGCCTGCTAAGAGTGGCAGTCGGGTTCACTCACTGCACAGGGTCTGACTCAGCTTCCTGTATTCCTATATTGCTAAGGCACACCTACTGCTTTGTAGGTAAATTGTAAAGCCCCACCCTTGGTTTACATGTGCCTGAGGCAGACCTGTGGATAGCTGGCCCATCATAGCTCTTTGACTCTCAATCCATCAGGTCCCTTTCTTGCACTAGTCCAAGGCCTCCCAAGGGCACCCTCCTGTCAGCAGTGGTCCCAGACCCTGGAGGTACCTGGTGATCCAGTGCAGAGGCCTTCCCATCATCTCCCTGTTGTCCTGCCCTGCAGATATCGCTAGATGAGAGGCTTTCAGAGCAGGAGGAAAGCAAGCTGGAAGAGACTCGGAGTATCTCATATCCCAGTCTCTCTGGTCTCCTCCCATCCCTGCCCACTGGATTACCTCCTTTCCTTCTCCTCTAAGGTCATCTTTCTCACCTCTGAGAGCACTTAGAACAATTCTGTGCTGGCTGCAGGTAACTGGAAGAGGGGTACAAATCCCCAATTCCCCTCTCCAAGGTAAGACTGCTGTTTCCGACCTTGGAAGAGAGACTCCAAACCATCTTAGAGGCCCTGGAATGATCTTACAGCACCATAGGTTTGCTCCTGACATTCAGGAGGAAACCACTCGGAAGTCACACACAAGGAATCATGCTACAGTGTTTCACACACAAAACAGAGTTTAGCTGTGGGAATTCAGGATGTGAGGCTGTCCGAATGACCACACTGGCCAGAGATTGTTTGGAGTCCAGCAATACACCCCTGCTTTAGTGTATATGCAATAGGGTAGATAAATTACTCTATGTGGGGAACTGCATTTGAATGAACAATTCAGCATGAAACACCTGGAGGAATCGTTCTACTGGTAAGCGGATTATTCTGAACAGTCGGTATTTTGTTTCGAGCCATTACATGCTTTCTACAAAATCAAAAGTGGCCTCCTGTTTGAGCTCTCACATATCAGCTCTCCCTCTTTCCTCCCCTCTCCTTCTCCCCTGAGTTGTGTCACTTTTTAAAAATACTCTTCTTGGGTCAGGTTGCAGCTGACACTTGCCAAGTATTTCAGATGACACACAAAGCAAAACAAACCCCGTTCAGGAGGTCACTGTGTGGAGAGGAGCGTGGCAATGCAGAACATTCCCTTCAGGAGGGCACAGCGCGATTCACAATGGGTGTCGGTGACAGTGTTGAAACAATAATTTGGACAGCCTGGAAGAGGATACCCGTCCATGAGTGTTCGAAGCCGCACACACTCAGGGACAGCCATTTGGTGACGCTGATGCAAGGAGATGAATTGTGGGGAGCAGCACTGAGAAACAAAACTTGGGAAAGGGTTAGGGGGGACATGCATGATCCCAAAAGGGTCTGACCCTACGGTTGAGGCTAATCTGAAGGATGAAATGTGGATGGTCTTGATTTTTTAAAGCATGTGCTTATTTTTTCCTACATTTTAGACTTACAAATTATGTTTTTTAATAGCTGTGGATTTGTGGTCATTTATTAGATAACTGCCAATATAGGCACGCCCCATAAAAATTACATGGGCTTTTGACCTGATACTTGTGAAAGACATCATATATAAAACAGGGTTACATATTACAGTTTTATACTAAAACTAAAATATAATTCTGAACTGTCCAGAGAGTCTGGGCTCCAGAAATGTAATAGGTATATAATTCTAAAATCAATCTACAGAATTTTCTAAGGGGACCATTCACACTGAAGTGAAGCTGAAGTGTTGCATGATGCTCACAGTGAGGCTGGCTGAGGCAATTCCAGGCTCTCTGCCCACAGCCATCAAACCAGCTTGCCCATTTGGCATCAATTGGCCACTGAATGGATACAGAAAAAAGAATGACGGTTTACCACCTAAAGTGCATACTAAACAGAGCAGCAGAAGGTGCTCTGTGCCTGCTTGCACCTTGCATCTGCCAAACAATTCTCAGACACAGATCAGTGTAGCAATTTTAGGCAGGTTCACCTAATGCACACTTTGGAGACTTTATAGCCACCTCCCAACACCACTTCTGCTAAGGCACAGGGCCACTTTCTTCAACTGGGCAGCTTCCAAATGTTCTGGACAACTCTTATTATCCCTGAAAATTGACCATGCTGGCTGGGACTGATGTGAGTTGTAGCCCCAAACATCTAGAGGGCACCAGGCTGGGAAGGCTGGGGGAGAGGAGAGAGTGTTCAGCCAGTGTTTGGAGCTGACTTCTTTGATTCAGCAGCTTCCCTTGCAGCCACATACTAAACACAAAGCCGTGCTGGTGCTGAACTCTGCTCATCTAAATATTATGACAAGCGCCCATCGAGTGCATTGAAAAAACAGTGGTGCTGGCAGCAGCCCTGCCACTGAGTCATTCCATGAAAAAAGAAGGGGCCTAAATGCTGAAACAGAGACTTTTTCCCAGCTGAACTCATGGAAAATGGAGAACAAAGAATTTGGAGCTAGACTGCTGCCCTCTCCAGAGATCTAGTAAGGCTAAGGGCAGGAATTCCTGCCCACTGAATATGATTCCAAAAAGATGTTAAACTACAGTAGTTTATTACCAGAACACCTCTTTTCATTGTCATTGAGTGGCCACCACCAATAATCCCCCTTATGCTCCAATCCATACATTTTTTCAACAAGCCACGCACCCCATCCCCAACCCACATGCACCGGCTGGCCCCAGCCTTTGACCTGTGTGCATCAACAGCTGGAACGTCAGAATGGCTGATGCACATGTGGAGTTCTTGGTGTGTAGGGCCAGTACGCCCAACCAGGAACCCCAGAATTCCAGAGCGTAGTGGAAGGCCATGATCACATTCTGCCTAGGTCCTCCTCTGCACCCCTCCAGGGGATGTTTGAACATGTGGACCAAAATGTAAGAAGTGTGCTTACTTATTCCATAGTCATTTATCATAAGGTGACTATTGTCTTTGTGGGGAGTTTATTGTCTGCCTTCTGTTCCATCTGACTGCTTGAAAACACTTTACTACTGCTCCTTATATTTCTGGGACATGATGAAATTGTCTTCATCATATGGCCATGTGCTGAACAGAAGCAGCTTCCCATGTAATTTCATGGAATCTGCAGCAAGCAGCTACAGATTACATGGCCACAGACTGCAGGCATCTTCAGCTTGCTTGATGCTTAGGAGCAAGGATGAAAGCTGGCTGACGTATGCCCCTTATGTGAAGGTCTGTCCCTTGTTTTGTTTTTTTTAAAGTCAAGGGTAAAACTCCTGGCATTCCTCGCCATTAGCAAGGTTAGCTATGCAGATGGAAGTTATAGTCTAGCACCATTCACAGGGATACTCATTCCCCACAGGATGGGCTGAATGGGCCTAGACCTCCCTAACTTGTCTCTGCCTCCTAGACTTTCTATGAACAAATAATTTAAAACAATTTACAACTTTGTCTTTAAAAGCCATGCAAAGCAGAAATACCCTCAAGTGTATGTGTATGAATGTGGGTGTGATTGCACCTTCAAAAATATTTAGGTGGAATACAATTCTGTTTTCCAACACCTGCTGTAAAACAAGGTTTTTACAGGTGAGATAATAGCACATTCTCCTCCCTTCTGTAAAATAACTTTGACAAAGACATATGCTCAGACATGATCACATATCTGCAGGAACCATGCTTTGTACTATAAATCCGAGGTTTGGTCCTCTCTCTTCATGCCTCCCCCATGACACATCTTTTTACAAGATTCATGCAGGAATCACCTGCAGAATGCATGATCAGATCATCTCAGGCTGTTAATTGGTTAATTTGAATAGCTCATCCCTCTGCAGAAATCCCTATGCTCTATAGAAATAATTTTGACTGTGGAGACTTGCATTGTCTTCATGCTGGGTGAACAGGCATCTCTGCCTTCTGGAGCCAAGGGCTCCCACACACACCTGCTCTGGTGATTTATTCTTGGGATTTAGGTTCCCGAGAAATAAGCTATAGCTGATTAATTCTGTTCATTTTAAAAAGCAACCAATCATTGCTGAGATTATCTTAAAAATGCATTCAGTTGGAAACTGGCGTTGGTTCACTTCTTTAGCATAGTGTGGATTGGTCTTCCCTTTATACCCAGACCCCTGGGTACTAGCTAGCCACTCTGTGCCCAAAATATACAACTAAGGGTGTCTTGCAACCCATCCTACCTTGCAGGAGCAGAAATGCAGATCCCTGTTTGTAACAGTAAGTACCGGATGATAATTTAACCGTCTGTCCTTAATTATTTTATGGGAAAAGCAGGAGGTTTCTTTGGGTAAAATAGTCCAATACGTTGGTTCCTTCAAACTGCAATAAACCAGCCCTCTTGCTCACTCTCCTGGGAAGGGTTCTGGATATCTAATCCAAAGTCCTGCCCTGAATGCACCACTGCTCCAAGTTTCCATTTATATGCTGCCTCTTTTCCATCAGAGCTTATCTGGAAGTTGACCTTGAAGCAAGTGGATTATATGCTAGAAGCCTCATGGTTTTACAGGTCTTTCTTTAATAGTATTTCCCCCATGACTCGACTTTTGCCGATGCAAAGGTTGCAATCCTGTTCCCTGTTAAGCACATGCATGCCCCAGTAAGAGCAACTTGCACCTCCTTGAGTACAGAGGGTGCACCCTGGCACGCTGCCAAACCCGCAATTGTGGGGGTTTTGGTGGGGGCAGGACATGGGAAGCCTCCACACACATAGCTACCACAACTATGGAATGCGCTCCCCAGAGAGGTCTGCCTGGCACTGTCATTATATGTTTTTCGGCGCCAGGTTAAGACCTTTTTATTTAATCAATATTTTAATAAGTTTTAATATTGAATTTTATCATCATATTTTAATTGCAGCCAGAGTGGGTCATTTATTTATTTATTTATGTTAGGTATTTGTATTCTATTTGTGTAAGCCGTCCTGAGGCTCTTGCAAAGGACGGCATACAAATATCTTAATTAAATAAATACTGTAAATAAATAAACTATGTTGATCTCATTACCAGGATTCAGTGTGCACACATGCATAGGAGTGAGATATGCATGCATTTCTCTGCGAGTGCAGACTGGCCAAAAGAAAGAATGGTGGCCATTGCATAAACATGAGCTCTGTGTGTACATCTGAGCCCGACAGGCCTTTGGCTTTCAGTGCAAGGCACTGCCAGAGAGTTATAACTGCAGCGTTAAATTCTGTTTTGCTGCTCTGCCTTCTTTATGTTCTTCCTGGGTCAGCTCACTAATTTGCTTTATACTGTGAGAGAGAATCTGATGTTTCTTCTCCAGAGTTGCCCACTGCAAGCTCTGTGAGGGTCCAAGCGCTTCATTCTCAAACATGCAGATCTTTCAGAGCTAATATTTTTAGATGGGCTGCATATAATGTGGGTCAGGAGGAGACAGATGTATTTTTAACACGACGATTCCTGCAAGCTGGTAAAGCACAGGGGAACGAAGTTTCCAGATGATGAAACACTTCTGGGTAAATAAACCCCATCCGTCTGCAGCTGTCTAGATACATCAAACTGTTTATGAAGTGAATTTGGCACTTCTCAGACATCACCATCAACACTTGGATGCAATCGTTTTTTAGCGGCTGCTTCACTGGGATCCATCATCACAATTGTAGTATCTTCATACAGTGACCCAAACAAACTGAACACAATCTAAATGAAAGAAACTACCCTTCACTATAGCATTACTTCTTTCTTGAAAGATGCATTTAGTAAATGGATGCTACAAACATGCACATTAATAGAATTCATATACTTTTTCATAAAGGCATAAAACATTCTTACCATATATGAGGGACTATGGAAATTATAAATTACATAGTTTTCTCAATTAATGTTAAAAATAATTCTATTTTCTAAGTCCTTTCTTTTCCAAGCTATTGTCTATGTAGGTCCTTTTCCATTTCAAATTCAATGCATTTCAACATTTGGACAGAGGATGAGATATGCATATTCTAAGTGTATGTCAGGCTCTGAACCAAAGCAACACATTTAAAGCATGCATCATTGCATTACCTTATAATTTCTGTAACAAACAGAGTTTACCCAGAGATACTTTCCTTGGTGAACTCTTAATTCAGAAAATTCCCTTTAGGATCCATCTCTCTCCCGTCTCTGAGTGTTGATAAACTGCAGAGCAGCTCTGAACCTTTTCCCTCTTTGAAGTCTGGAGTTTATTTCTGGATCACCCCATGATCGACGATTACAAGCCAAAATATAAGTTGCTCTGAATCTCAGATTTCCTGTGTGAAGTCTGTGGCAAAGTGGCTTGTCCTTCCCTCCAGGTTTCTCTCTGCAGCATTATAATCTTTAGAACTTCACTTTCCCCAACATCCCTTTGCTGCATGACACAAGGGGCTGACTTTTTATTACATCATTATTTATTTATTGTCCTAGACAAGTAAACCATATATGGCCATGTTGCTGAAACCTTAAGGGAGGGGGAAATTGCCATATAATTTTGAAATGGATATGGTTGCTCTGAAATTTTCTAGGAGTTATTAAAAAAAAAAAATGCTTATTTTTATCCCATACTTCTTCTAAGGCAGGGGGAGAGAAACTGTGGCCCTACTGCAATCTAGAATCTAAATGTGATTGGATTCCAAATCCCATCAACCCCAGCAAGGCCAGTAGATGTAATCTAGCAGTATTAGAGCCACGGATCCCCTCACCCAGGTCCAAGAAGCTTAGAGGAACACAGAAAGTTTTGCTACTGTTTTATTTTCAAAGGCATTTTGCAAGGTAGATTGGTCTGGGAGATAGTGATGAGCCCAAGGGTATTCCTAGGGTTTCCAAAGGTATTCAGGCAAGGAGTTGAAACTGGATATACCCAATTTAAGCTGAATATTCTATCTACTGCTGCATTCACAACTGCTGCTTTCACAAACAGGAAAGCCAAAAGAGAGCAATAAATTTGATTGGGAGAGAAAAGCTGCATTAATTCACCAAATCTTTCCTCATTTCCAAAGATGTAGACAGACATCCATGCCAGAAGGGACAGCATACTACTGAGTGAAATGCTTCTTCTAAAAATGCTACCCTTGGATACTTTCCAGTCCTCTAGTACTGGGGCAATTTCCATGGACAAATTACATGGTATGGTTAGAATGACTGAAAATTAACATCCGAGTTTCATATGGGGCACAATCCTATGCACGTTTGGACACAAAAAATCCTTCAACTTCCAGCATTCCTGGAAAGTTGTAGGACTTCTGTCTAACGTGCATAGGATTGTGCACTTAAGAACTTTTCTTAAACTCTTGGATGTGTACAAGGCCATCCATGGCTACTCATCATGATGGAATATGTACTGTCTCCAAAATCAGAGGTAACATGATTCAGAATTCGATTTGCTGGTCAACTGTAGAAATGCACTGCTGCCAGAGGCATGTGTTGGCAACAGGTAGAAACAAGATGATGGACTAGTCAAGAAAGATCTAGGGTGGCCATGGCTCCTCTTTTGCACAGGCTGGTCCTCTGTTTGAAGGGCTGCCACAAGACTTTCCTCTGGTCTCAAGGTATCCTCTAGGTGAAGAACGGTACAGTCCAAAGATGGCTTAATGGTAAAGGACCCTAAGAAGAGAGACCAGCAAGGTCCTTGAAATTGTTCATTCGCACTTCTCACCCGGAAAGCACACTGAACAAAGCACACAAGTCTCCTGGTCATGGTCCGATGCCTGTGGTTCTCAATACGGACCATGTGGCCACCCCCAAGGGGCCATGTCATATCTCTAGGAGGGCATAATAAGTTTCGGGGGGGGGGCACCCAAACATAAATGCCATGTGTATGATCAATTTGTCATAAACCTCACATCTCCTTCTTTGTGCTAATTTCAGCAACATACACATTGAAAATTAACGCAATTTACAATAAAATATTTCAATGAAAAAGGAAGTCTGTAATAAATGAAAGTTTAGGTTCCTTAGAAACAAGCCATATGATACAGTTTAGATTATTAAACAGTAAAGATGGTAAAGTACCTTTTTTCCAGCTACCAGTGACTATGAGGAGGGTCACAGAAGTAAAAGAGGTTCAGAATGGGTTATGAGCAAGAAAAGGTTAAGAACCTCAGCTCTACACTATGGTTGGATGTACCATACTTCTAATTAAACTGTCATCATGCACCTAGACATATACATTCGCCTTCTCAAATGTTATGCAAACTGATGCCTTCTTTTGTGCTGATGCATCTCCCTTTTTCAGTGATTCATCAGTGGCCACCCTGCTTTGGCTGGATCTGATGGTTTTTCTTGTGTTCTTATGACCTGGCGATCTGAGCCTCCTCTGCTGGTGGGCCAGGTGAAGAAGAAGAGGGAGAGGAAGAGGGCCGGAGTCCATGCCACTTTTGGCTTGGTCCTGCTCACCCTTGGCTAATTTGCCCAATGCCAGCAAGTGTTCCCACAGATTACCATCTTGGGAATGGCTGATCACAGAAAAAGTGTTCTCCAACCTGCCCTAAAGCCACCATTCCACAGTTAACAGATGTGAAATATGATGCCATTCACACAACAAATGTGATTTGTATGACTGGTTTGCAACATGAAAAGATCAGCCACAGGAACACGGAGTCAGAGGAAGACCCTGGTGTCAGAAGGCTCGAATGTCTGTGTGTCTCAGCCTCCCCAGCCTCCCTTCCTCCCTCCCCACTGGCACAAATGAGAGTTTTCTTTCAAGCGTAACTAGTGACTGTGAGATCCAAGGAGGATTGCTGCAGGGGCAAAACATTAAAAGTTCCTTTCTCCCCCACCAGGGTCCTGCCCCAAATCAGGAAGCCCAGGAAGCCCACACTTACTTACACTGTAAAAAACCATTCCTGCAATAGCTACTTGTGTAAACAGGGTGACATATCATTGAATTAGACCTTAAATCCTAAAAAACCTCCTTAGCCTTATGCAGAATGGCGGGGTAGCCCCATGAGACTATAAGGTTAGATTCTCATGAGAACATTTTTGGCACAATTATAGAAGTAAGAGACGAGGGATTTTTTTAACATTTAGCCTGCCTGCTGTGGTCCTTTTAAATTGCTTTCATAGATGTTTAATTCATTGTTTTAATTGGTTTTAATGTATTTTACTCTGTTAATATGTTTTCTGTATTCTAAGCTGCCTAGGAAGGCCTCGGCAATTATAGGTGGCCTATAAATACATGTAAATTAATTAATTAATTAAAAGCTGTGGTAAGAAACAGCAGGGTGGAGACATCTTGATGGCCTTGGGGACACTTTTATTTTTATTTACATTTAGCAGCCAGGGGCAGTAGAGCAGTCAGATGCACTCTCTTTTAAAATAGATCCCCCTTTCTTCCTTCTGAACAGGTCTTGTTGTTTTCTAGTGGTGCCAAACCACCCTCTTTCTGCGGGGCCATTCCATAATGTTTCTGAGGAGGGACAGAGGAATATGAGTAGCATTGTTCTCCTGAGATGTATTGTGGGGCAATGTTGTGTCCGCCAGAGGAGGTTGCCTTCCAGCACAGGAAAACAGCAGCAAAAACTGTTTCAAAGGAAAAAAGGGAGAAATGTTTTAAAAGGAAAATCCTTGGGCAGAGCATCTCCCTGCCTTCACAACCTGAGCATAGGGCTGAGAAGGTAGAGCACTACCTATTAACCAGCCCCAAATCCCATAACCGGATTTTTCTGAGGTAGGAAAAATAACACTAGATTGACGTGAAAGCCAGAAAGCCTGCATTTGATCCAGATCTCAAAATGAAGTAAGAAAAGTTTGCAGTCTAATCTGCAATGCTATCCAGCAGCAGTGGGGCGACATTTTTCCCCACTTTGTCAGGGACCACATGG